GATTTATTTGGGGTTTAAAACGGCAACATTTTGTTTAAAACGTTTTAAATCGGTTGTTTTACATCTATAGTCGTGACTCCTGCGCGAAACAACTTCAGAGCAGACTAGAAGTTTGGCGCTATCTATACCCTCCTACGGCCTTGTGGGAGCGTCTCAGAATTGGCGAGAATTTTATTCACCTACAAAAACTCAACACCAAGTTCACAAAAAGGTAGTATTATAACATTGTGGATCATCATCAGCCTATTAATGTCCCCACTGCTGGGGCACAGGCCTTCCCTAGGGATGGAATAGGGAGATTGGACCATGACCCACCACGCGGGTCCAGTGCGGATTGGCGGGTGTTAACGACTGCAGATGCAGCCGGCACCAACGGCTTAACGTGCCTTCCGAAGCACGGAGGAACTCGAGATGGAAGATTTTTGATCACCCATCCAATGACCGACCACTGCGAAAGTTGCTTAACTTCAACGATCGCAGCCGAACGCGCTAACCACCTGCGCTATCGGGCTCCTCAATGATTTCTGAATGATGCAGGTTAATTCCCCAGATGGGCGCTTCAATTTGAGCGGGAAATCCGCTATGCCCAAACTTCTCTTATTATGAATTTTTCTGATGATGTTAAAGGAATTACTTGAAATTTCTTTTTTTAGAATTTATCTGCTTCACTGCGTCCACTAAGTTATGCAGCTACAATCTAATATTGTCGAAATGTTAGTCGGAGAATGTATGCAATATGGTTCAATATGAAACATATAAGGAATATCTATCTACATTCTAACGATCCAACACACGTATGAATGCAGCATTGTACAGGGAAGGCACAAAAACTCGAACGAGGTAAACCATTCTTAGGGTTCCGTAGCCAAATGGCAATAAACGAAACCTTTATGGGTTTGTATGTCTGTCTGTCTGTCCGTCCGTATGTCACAGCCACTCTTTTCTAAAACTATAAGAACAATACTGTTGAAACTTGGTAAGTAGATGTATTCTGTGACCGCAAGTCATAAATCGTAAACCGAAATTTATCTTTAAAAAAACATTTGACTCGCATTTGGTGGCTTCTTGATTAAAAATCGATGAACACCGGCTGCACGCATGAAAAAGTGTGACGTCATGGTACTTTATGTCACGAGTTAGTTCAATCTTCCGCGGTATATGTGAGGGGAGGTTTAGAAGGGTTCCTGCGACCTAGACCCCCCTGACCCCTCCGATCACCTCACCCCTGACCCTCACTAACCTCCCCACCCCCTGACCCCGCTTGACCATGCCTGACCCCCTGACTCTTCCCTCTGAAGAGTACCTCGCAGCGCCTAACCCTTCCTTTGATCCTTTTCCGTTTCGGTTCTGTTCCTTGGATCACTTCTGTGGAATATTAGATACGATGGGGTTGGCAGTGGTATGTAACTTCCCGACCGAATATTTTATTTTACTCAGATGATACGTTGGTCACTGCTAGAGGGAGCGACTATAGAAAAGCAAGAGACGAGCCACAGTAGGAGTCTCATTAGTGGTGGGAAGGAGAAGGTTGCTGGGTCTAAATGTAGTGGTGTCCAAAATAGAAGCAACATCTATAATGGTCTGGGTGGTAGACTGCCGGCTGGCCATATCACTATGGACGGAGAGATAGTGCCACTGAAGGCTCACATCAAATATTTGGAGCTACTAGCTATTAGATGGCTGTTGGCGCTTCGACAACCATTTCCAGCGATTTTATTTATTTATTTATTTATTTAATTCTTAATGCACAATTGTACAATGGCGGACTTAATGCCGTAGGCATTCTCTACCAGTCAACCATAGGGTGTTGAGGAGAAGATTAGTGGTAGGGTGCACATATGAGGTGGAAATCACATTTAAAGCAGTAAATCACATTTAAACATAAATATTATAATAATATATAATAATTAAATTACACAGTAATTATATAAAATTACATACATATATATATATACATATATAAACATACACATACGTAAACATATAATAAAATAACACTACATAAAATTAATACATAATAATGACGACTAACTACTAAACGAAATTGTCTGTTCCAGTAAAAAGCTTCGCAGCTTGGTTTTAAAGCTATATTTGCTGGTGGACATCCTAATGGCTAACGGGAGTTCATTCCACAAATGAATTGTTTTGATGAAGAAGGAAGAGTGAATGATATCAGAGCGGTGAGAGGGAACGACAAGTAAACGATTAGAAGAAGATCGAAGGTTTTTAGGATGAGAGGTACATAAGTACTGAAATTGAGAAGTGAGATAAGGGGGGGCATTTGGAGAATCTAACAAAGAGAACAAAGTGGTCAGATTTTCATTGTTAACTTCTAGTTAGAATAACTAGTTATTCTGACGATGCAGACCTGAAAAGGCTGCGAAACGTCAATAACAATAAATAAATAAAGTTTTCGTGCATTAACCCGTAAAAACTAGTTTTATTTAACGTAGAAAAGTAAAATATTTAGGCATTTTTCACTTAGTTGAACATCAATAAAGGTCATAACAATACAGGATTTTAGTGATCTCTTCTCTTCTTTTCTCTTCTAAAGAGAGCACGAGTTTTGCAATAATTAATCCGCTTTATTGAAGTTAACAATGAAAATCTGTTAATATAACTAGTTATTCTGACGATGCAGACCTGAAAAGGCTGCGAAACGTCAATAAATAAATAAAGTTTTCGTGCATTAACCCGTAAAAACTAGTTTTATTTAATGAGTGATGTGCGTGAAAACCTAAGAAACAAATACTTTTCTACGTTTTTTTTAATGTGTGTTGTTTTAAAATGACGGTAGTGTAAATTGGTTTACCATCCACTCTTTTAGTTAAATTACTATGGTGTCATGTAGCACCTGGTTTTGTACCCTTGTGTACCCTTCAACGGCCAAGTCAGACAACATTAACTATATTAATAAAGATACCTTAGACTTGGCACGACTTTGTCTAGATTTCATTACTTTTTAGAGATAAACAAGCAGCTCCATCAAGACTTGGCTAGTTTTTTACAGAATGTTTTTGGTGAGATTCCACTTCTTTTTGTAGAAACGTGGACATGTTGATTTACTTTATTAGATTTTCTTATTTGACACATTTTTTTTCTTTTTAGGAGTAGACTTTTTAATTTTTTATTATTACAAATCTTTCTTTTCTTTTTTTCCGGTTCTGATTCTTGAACATTAGCAACAGTTTTTCGTTTTGCCCATTCGCGTTCTTTATTTATTCTATTACACGGTTTAATTTCTGAAAGATTTTTATACGGTATTTACGCCTAAGCCGGTTGTATTCGGTGATCGCTGAAGCTTGAGCTTTTATACTCTTGAAGTCAACATTTATGAGGTGCACCCCATGAAGATTGGTTACTCGTGAAAGCGCCATGTAGACTTGGCCACATGAGAATATGGAGGTGCCAATCTCCATGAGGGTATTTTTTAGACTTAGACCTTGGTATCACCGCCACTCTTAGTCCAATGCATTATATTTTGGCCAAATTTTGAGCGAAATTAATATTTTAGTGTAATTTGTTTATTTAATTTGTGTAATGTTGGAGTAGAATAACGTAAATCGTTCGACTATTTTTTCTTGTCAACTCGTAAGTATTAGTATAAAAGTCAGTCTAGTGTTATCCAGAGTTTTCCTTTAATTTTATTTATATGCGTATTAAAAGAAGAAGGGGAGGCATTCGCCCAGCAGCAAAGATGTGTATCACTACGCTGAATTTTTGCAATGACAGTCGATTTTTTTGTGTACCAATAGTAGAAGGGGGCATTACCATATCTCTAATACAGCTAAGACCAGCTGAGGGTTATCCATCAGATACTTCAGACCTTCGATTTTTGACATCAAATGAAGTGGCCCACCAAGATGAATACTTTTTGTAAAGGCGGTATGTCGATCTTTTCTAATAGTTTGGTTGGGCTCTTGTGTTTTCTAATCAGGCTCACCACACCAGGTACTCCAGATCTTCGATTATCCTAGTTTTTGTAGTTTTCACTCTATGTCACCATTAAACCCTAACTCTGTACCAAATATCAGCTCTCTGAGTTTATGGTAAGTACTAGTTCTATTCTGATGATCATGAGTGAGTGAGTGTCATAAATGCGAAACTTTGCTTTCGCTGAACTTCGGAACTAAATGACCTATAGACTTGAAATTTCGGATTTTAAGTATGTTATTATAGCTTACTGGATAACGAAAATTTCAGCGTTCTGGTCTTATCCAGAGGCTCTCAAATAGGGGCCTGAAAATGCGGCGAAATGGTTCCAGTAAAGGATGGTATGGTACGGCAGTGTTGCTTCGCGCTCGACTTGGCGGGGGTACTGCCGTGCCCCCCGATGCGCACTTTCGGTGCAAATTGCACGAAATCGCGCAATTTGGACTGTAGTAGAAAAACTTAATGTCAACTTGCTTTGAAAAGAAAAAAGAAGATGCCCATCCCAACAGGGACAAAAAAAGAAAGTTTTTGGCGGGAAATCCCATCGGGTGCGGTTGGCGTCTTATTTTTATTATTCTTAAATTCGTTCATATTGTGAAATAAATTTGGTGTGATTTTGTGTTACAACCGTCTGCGCAACTAAAGAATTAGTGGAATCTTTAAAATATACGCTATTCCGGTCAAGTGGATGCGAGAACATTATTGTAGTGTTGACTACCTCACAGAAGCCTATCGGTACAGCCAACTCAATACATTTCGTGCCAAACACTCCGAGTAACATTAGAATGAGTCACACCACCATTTTAATGTAATAAAAAGAAGTTTAAAATAACTTAAGACTTAGCTGTATTGGCATTATTCTCTTTGCCTGCCCTGAAAAGGGAGTATCTTAATTAAATAATTAAAAAAATACATGTGGCACTCGGGGATTGCCGCGGTAAAGCTATTGCATAGCATATTTCATCAATTTATGCAATTATAATTATTTATTTATGCAGTTTTTTTCTTTGATATTAATTCAAGTTTTTTCTTTGATATTTGACAAAGTACTAAATGTAGATACTCACAGAATATATATAAATTGCTGGAGATAAATAACACACCACTCTTATCGTCCGTTGTTGTTCATTTTATCTTCTTCAATAATCAAACAGGAATGTCAATAATAAAAAAAGAGACAATCACATTGGTTGCAATGCATCCTCATTATTTAACATCCTCCACAGCCGGAATAACAAAATGATGCATGTAACCGATATTCGAAACCCATTATGTATGTAGCAAGCAAGTTAAATAAGCACTATAATTATGTTACAAAATTTAACTAAACGAATATAAAACTTGTTATTTTCTTAAATATTATTAGAAACAAAACAGTTGATATAAAAACCACGCATATTAATAATTCACGTTCTTAAATTAAGTTAAGTTCAATTAAATTGAGCAGGTTCGCAACGGTATGCAATCAGCCTTTCTCATATTATAAAATGTATTGCAGCTCATCAGTCTCGTCGGTTATCGGATCGGAGTCAACTTTTTTGAATTGTCCCCAGAATGACAACCCATTCTTGATATTGCTATCAAATTTCTTTATCTCTAGTATTGGCAATTTAAATAACGGCTTATCATTTTTTGCTTCTGTTTTTAATGTCTTTGCCATTGATGCATCGAACTGTGCTTCCAGTAGCGCCCATTTCGTTTGGTATTTACTGGTATCATCCAGCTCTTTCTCGAACTCTTTTTCGTCCCAATTTTCAGATGCGGTAATCAATTCACAAATTTCGCTATCTAATGTTTTTAATTGGGAATGCTAATTACTTTATGACATGCTAATATACATCTCGCTCTCTTATTCTGGTCTGTTTTAAGAGAGTTTAACAGCGACTCGAAAGTAATTGCGGACTTGGTAAAATGGCGTCTTACAACGGATCGCAATTTAATTTTTTGCTCCATGATATTTCTATAATTAATCAGATGACAATGTACTGAATGTAAATACTCACGGAATAAATATATTAAATTGCTGGAGAGAAATAACTGTGGAAATAACACACCACTTTTATCGTCCGTTGTTGTTCATTTTATTTTCTTCAATAATCAAACAGGAATGTTAATAATAAAAAACCATAAGGCAGAGACAATCACATTGGTTGCAATGCATCCTCATTATTTAAAAATATTAATTCATGTTAGACTTTTTGAGCGTGGTGACCGATAAGAAAACATATTTATTTCCATCTCCTTCATGCAGTCGGCCAGCATACATTTTATATCACTGGTGTGATTATTTCTGGCGGCGTTCTCCTTGGCCTTACCCTGGACCTCATCTTTATTTGGAGAGCCACTGGCCAGGTCGACAGGTTCCCGTACAGCAGCCGGTTTTTCGGGCTTGGAAGAATCGCTGATACCGAACAGGCGAACGTTTGTGGTCACCCCTGCGTGTGCTCTTCTTGCAGTTCGGGCATATCCAGTCCTTGCTGACACTCGACTTTTCCTGGATGGCGAGGCAGGCCTTATTATATTTTATTGGGCAAGCACAGCATACAACAACATTGCCCGGCGCCAAAAAACTTCCACAAGCTCCACAGTTTACCATCTTTAGTCCAAAATTTTTAATTATAATTATAAAGTCTAAATAAAAGGGTGACAAATAAAAATAAGAACCGGTGCTGGGGTCTAGTACAAATATATAAAAAATACAAAAAAAATAACTAAAAATAAAAAATACGAGTGCGGGATTTGAACCGACGACCGCGGTGATGCGTCGAACGTTAGTCCCGTGGTAAAAACTAAACACACTGCGCCGTTTAGATTAATATTAGATTGGCGAAAATTGTGTTCTATTGGTATACTAGCTGACCCAGCGAACTTCGTACCGCCCTAAAAAAATAGGGGTTGTCCAGCGGACAAAATTGTGAATCTAAACCATTCTCAGATCCCCTTGAACACACACAAAAAAATTCATCAAAATCGGTCCAGTCGTTTAAGAGAAGTTCAGTGACATACACACTCACAGAAGAATTATATATATAAAGATGCACTATCGCAAGGTTTTTTCGTTACAGAATTTTTTGATTCGGTCCCCGCGTTCAAAGCCCGCGATAAAAGCTATACAATAGCTTAAAAAATAAGTTCTCTTAAAAGGGAGAATTAACAAAAAAAAAAAGTTTTTTTTTGCAGTATTTAGTCTTATTTTAATTATTCTTAAATTCATTCATAGTGGATATTGTGAAATAAAATTGGTGTGGTTTTGTGTAACAACTGTCCGCGTAACTGAAGAATTAGTGGAATCGTTAAAATATACGCTATTCCGGTCAAGTGGACGTGAGAATTTTATTGTAGTGTTGACTACCTCACAGAAGTTTATCGAAAAAGCCAACTCGATACATTTCGTGCCAAACACTCCAAGAAACATTAGAATGCGTCACACCGACATTCTAATGTAAAAACAAAAAGAAGTTTAATTTAATGAAAGATTAGGCTGTATGGGCATTGTTCCTTTTGCCTTCCCTAAAACGGGAGAACTACAACAAAAAAAAAATTGACAGTGACACTGACAAAGCAACAGCAACAGCATCATTTTGTTTTGGAGATTGTTGATGTTGATTTTATTTTCATTCAATAAATCTGCATGTCCGGCAATAATGGCTTTATTAGCCAATTGAGTGAAAAGAAATTCTATTATTTTGGTAATCATAAGACAGTATGAGTAATATTTACATACAAGAACCGCCTGCTTTGGGCAAGGTAAGTAATGTAGTTTTCAGAAGACTCGTTTTACGCTATTTTTCGATTTGCTCGGTGGTTTTAAAGGATTTTATCAATAAACCCTGTTTTATTAAAGAGTCATTTGTCTCTCGCCTAATGTTTTGATTGGTGTTAACAAATAGATTTATCACAATATTGAACTTTTATTCCCTCTATTGGATAGGATTACAATTTCTAATCTGTTTTATTTTATGATTCTGTACACACTGATTTTATATTAATAACCATCATGAAGTGTATTTATGCAGTATTTTGTTACTGGTTGCTGCATAATAATATATTTTTTTAATCAATTTCAAATCATCATTCAAATTATTAAATTAAAAAAAAAAAAATTATATAAAATTTGTTTCCAGGTTTTACTAAAAACTACAGTTGGCGATATAGATATAGAGTTATGGACAAAAGAAACACCAAAAGCAAGCAGGAACTTCATTCAGCTATGTATGGAAGAATATTATAATGGTAAATTAAATATTTATTTTGAAAAAAATCATCGATTTTTCTAATGAGAGCAATTTGTTGATAGGCATCTTGTCTCAAAGACCAAGCTTAACTTGTTCTTGTAAGACCAAGTACCTATGAATTTTATTGTGACTATATTTTTAGTCCTAGTGATCTAATTTTAATCGGGATGTCTTTGCAGGCACAATATTTCATAGAGTAGTTCCAGAGTTCATTGTACAGGGAGGTGATCCTAACGGAGATGGTACGGGAGGTGAATCTATTTATGGAACTCCATTCAAAGCAAGTATCACAAAAAGTCATATTACATTAATCAAACAACAGTTAGCTTTTAAAGAGATTATTATTATTTAAATAAAAATTTAAACTAAATAACGATCCAAATTCAGATATATATTGTCTTTGTACTGGAATAATCAAATAACCAACAAAACATAACTTAAATAAAACTAGTTTTTACGGGTTAATGCACGAAACTTTATTTATTTATTTACGTTTTGCAGCCTTTTCAGGTCTGCATCGTCAGAATAATGATTTTTTATTTAAAATTGTCGAGCTACCTTCGAAAGACTTATATTGAGCGTTCGGTTATTTCATTGGAAGATTTTTAAACTTTAACTTAACTTCTGAGATAGGTAATAATTACTTTTTATATTATTTAAATAATGTAGATTTGCATGACAAATTAATAATGAGAAGCATATTGTACAACATATCAAAAGAGTGACAGGAAATTCTCTAAACAATAAAACTCATCAATCGGTTTTGTTTATTATTAAACTATTCAACTACAACAACAATATGGCAAAAACCAATTCTATACTCTCCAGGAAATTACTGTGTTCATTTACAACCAGTTTCAATAATGAAACTCCAGTAAAAAGGTAATCTGGTTCTGTTTCTTAGCAAAAGTTATAATTTAAATAATCAAAAAATCCAAACAACAACGTTTTAACAGGCCTATGTCTTTCTGGAGTTGATAATTGAAACCGGCTGTAAAATAAAGTAGACTAAAGGAAGAGAATTTCCTTTAGATTTAAGACTTTTTTATAGAATCTTCTATGCCCTACCTCTCTCTTAAAACAGTTCTTCTTTATGTTGGCACATTTATAGTATTATTAAAATTATGGGATATTTATGTATATACAAATAATGTATATGAGGAGCTCGATGGCGCAAGTGGTTAGCGCGTTCCGCAGCGATCGTTGAATTTAAGCAACTTTCGCAGTGGTCGATCATTGGATGGGTGACCATAATTTACTATCTCGAGCTCCTCCGTGTTTCGGAAGGCACGTTAAGCCGTTGGTCCCGGCTGCATCTGCAGTCGTTAGCACCCACCAACCCGCACTGGGCCCGCGTGGTGGGTCATGGCCCAATCTCCCTATTCCATCCATAGGGAAGCCTGTGCCCCAGCAGTGGGGACATTAATAGGCTGATGATGATGATGATGTATATACTAGTGGCCCGCCCTCGCTTCGCTTCGGTGTAGAGCTGTAGTGTAAACTATAGTTTTTGTTCTCAGGCTTGTGCTATAAACAATGACTTTATTTATATAATTATACGTGTTATTGTGAGTCAATCATAAAAGATAGACATATGCATAACTTCTCCCGTTTTCCCAACATTTCCCTTCACTACTCTGCTGCTATTGATTGTAGTGTGATAAAAAGTATACTATAACCTGCCCAGGAGTATGAAGAATAATTGTACCAAGTTTCGTTAAAATCCGTCGAGTAGTTTTTGTTTCTATAAGGAACATACACACAGACAGACAGACAGACAGACAAAAATTTTACTGATTGCATTTTTGGCATCAGTATCGATCACTAATCACCCCCTGATAGTTATTTTGAAAATATATTTCATGTACAGAATTGACCTCTCTACAGATTTATTATATGTATAGATTTATATATTGCCTTTGAAGGCATACAAGCAGTCTAAATAAATTCCATTCGCGTCTGCTCTTTAACTGGCGTGGTTTGGTCGTGATGGCCAACTGTTTGATGTATTTAGTATAAAACTGGGACATAAGACTTTTGATTTAAAATAATGTACCTACTCAAATGTTTGTACACATTTACACCCAGGATGAGTTTCATTCGCGTCTTCGCTTCAATAGGCGAGGTTTGGTCGCGATGGCCAACGCCGGCAAGGACGACAACGGTTCACAGTTCTTCTTCACGCTAGCGGCCACACCGGAGCTGCAGAATAAGCACACGATATTCGGGAAAGTCACCGGTCAGTGACTTAGGCCTACTTACACCAAATTTGCTAAATCAAAACATCAATTATCACAAATGACATTTTAACAGTTTTGTGTGGACTTAATCTAGTTTTAGTTAAATGGAGATTTAGCAAATTTGGTGCAAGTGTGTATGAAATAATGTTACTACATAATTAATATAGTCTTACTGTCATACTCAGAGATGTGAAATATATTTAAGTCATTTAAAGTAGTTATAATTGCTATTTTAAGCATGTAAATGCTAGATTTTTAAATGTAAAGAAAATTTTACGAGTACTAGAAACAATTCCACGCGGAGCTGGCAGCAGACGGGACGGGGTGGAAAAGGCTAGAGAAAATTCGATGCGGTCGTCAGGGCTGTGGTATAATGGTCAGTGCATTTGTCCGGATAGCTAAGGGCGCGGGTTCGAGTCCCGTCTGCTGCCTGGTCCGCGTGGAATTTTTTCTAGTAAAATTTTCATTTAAAGTATTCGATAGTGGTTCTGATACAAAATCCTTAGTTACCACCCACCAATTCGTATTGAGTTAAAGTCTATTTATCCTTGTGATTCTGTCTACACACAATACCTGTACTCTAATAGTGGAGACATAATAATCTCATATTCTTATAATATTTTTATTTTTAAGCAGTTAACTGCTAGATGTTTAATTCGATAAAATATCACAAAAATTGCCTTGCAGCCTTAGAAATCGTGGAAGAAATTCGATACGGTCATTAAGGTCGGAGGATGCGGGTTCGAATCCCGTCTGCTGCCTGGTCCGCGTGGATTTTTTTCTAGTAAAATTTTCTTTAAATAATTTAGTTCTTTTCAACAGGTGAAACTATATACAATGTGTTGAAGCTGGCAGATGGTCTCATTGGCCCCGACGATAGACCTGAACACCCTCATAAGATCACTGGTGCCGAAGTGTTAATAAACCCTTTCACTGACCTCTTACCGAGGGTCAAAGAGACCAAACAGGAGGAGCCCAAGAAGAAGAAGAAGGAACGGCAAGGGGTTAAGTGAGTATTGAGTTTCGTTATCCATTTTTATCAATAGTAACACTGGCTGTATGGTAAATGGGCATTTTAACATACAGCTTGTGTAACTATCGACAAATTAAAAGAATCATTTTAAGAGGGCTTCTATCTATATACACTCCCAGACACATGTATCGGCCCACTTTGTGTTATACATTTTAACGGTCCGTAGCAGAAATATAAAAAATTGTGTGTGTCAGCTCCGACGCACGACTGGAGTTTACTCCTTAAGTTCGATAGTCTAACCAGACGCAAAAAGAGTTTATTTAACTTAAAATGATTGATACTGTATGAAAGGGTAAATTAACAAATTAATGAAAATAGTAGACATATATAAATATATATTTATTCATTTCATATACATTTATTATAACTAATCGACGAAATATTTTACATTAAACTTTTAACAATAGTCAATTTCAGATGTGCATAAATATATCATTAGGAATGTTGATAAATTATGTAATTATTATTATCAGGCTATTATCATTTTTTTAAATATTAATTAAATCAACATTGTCTGCATTATTAATTTATCCCCATTGCTCTATCAGAAACAATATCTAAATTCAGTTCAGATTTTAATTTTTTTATTAATGTCAATCCGTCATCTTTGTTTGTCAAAGTTGCGCGACATAGGATGCGCACCAAAAACGTAACGAGGTCATACATTGATAGATTTTACTCCTCACATTTTTCTCATATCGGGCCCCTTATATATGCAAATCGATTCTTAAGGAGTAACCTCCAATAAAGTTAGGTTAAGCTGTAATAATATACAGTGTAAACTCCATGTAACGTCATTCGCTTTAACGACAAACTCCCTAAAGCGTCGAAATCACTCGTCTTTGGTTGGTTTAGTATGTTTTCCATACAATGATACTCTCCATATAGCATTACACCCACTCTCAATAACGACGACAACTAAGTAATAAAAAGTACCTTTTAAGTTGCCAAAATTAGTTAAAATCGCAGCTGTGTACATTCTTTTGTCGCTTTATTATCCTAGCCCGTAATAAACTCTACTGCCGGCATCATGCAAACCAAAATTTCGTAGAAATTCGTTCTTTTGTTTACAAATTGGGATTGCACGTGTAGACTGTTGTTGACCATGACTAAAAAAATATAATACAACAAAATTACTGGTGCAGCAAAAGACGTCAGGCAATAATAACAGAATATACGCAATGGCGTTCAAATAAGATTATTTTTTATGTACATAACTACTAGCTTGAAATTAACTTTTTTTTTCATAATTCTGATTTTTCTTCTTTCGATTTAACAACAACTCTCTATAACACCATAAAATGTACAGTCCCTTTAGTGTCGTTATATAGAGTTTACACTTATTAAGAACACATAAAAAAGATGGTTAGTTAATCAGCTTCAAACTGCGTAAAATATTTTTGCTCAATATAACATTCTTTTACCTAGGGACCGTCAAACAACGATATTTAATACCCTATACGTGGTGTATACACGTCTGCTCAAAATGTGTCCCAATTAAGAAGTGCTTGAACTCCACTCAAGCACTTCTTGATCCACAGTCACGCGCGGATCGTTGAAAATTTAACATATCGTAGAGTTTTGTGAAATAATGCGAAAAAATACGTGTAGTATATAAAGTGCCGTTTTTTCGACAGGTATCTAATTATTTTTGGGAATTTAATGCATTTGAAGCAAATTTTGTTTTAATACTCACTATAAACTGATTAAATAGAAAATATTTGTAATGTTCAAATGCGTGGTCGTTTAAATCATCATCATCAGCCTATTAATGTCCCCACTGCTGGGGCACAGGCCTTCCCTATGGATGGAATAGGGATGACCCAACACGCGGGCCCAGTGCGGATTGGTGGGTGGTGGCCGTTTATATAGCCGTCTCTTTTCCTCGCGGTCCGTACCTGCTATATTGCTAACAGCACATTCAGAATTGTGCGTAGAGTCAAAGAAATAAGGTCTATATTCTTCCGCATATAGCAATAAGTCGTAATATTTTACAAGCTTGTAATTCGAACTGTCATAACTCTTTGACGCGTTAATTAAGACCGAATACAGTATGCATTAAAGGTGATTTTCAATGTTTAAATAATGTCTTATATTGTATTTGACAATGCGATCATCTTACGGTGCTCCATGGATCGTCCAATGTAACTTTTGGACAGGTTTCGGGCACGATTTTGTTCGTGTTTGTGTGTCTAGCGTATCTAATATCGTTGCCTTCAAAATCTGGTCGGCCAAAACTTAAAATTCCATTTTCCGTTTGTCTCGCTAAAATTCGAGCCTAAAGGACTGAGCCCGATTTAGCCGATTTTTGTTTTGAAATGTTTGTCGTAGTCCAGGGAAGGTTTAAACGGTGAGAAAATATGGAAAAACTGCGAGAAAGATAGTAATAACAACAATTTAATTTTCCCATAAAAACTGTTCCTACTACTTGCCTGTCAACCATTTGACGTTACGAGCAGACCCGTCTTTCGCAGTGGGCGCTTTGGGCAAGTGCCCAGGGCCCCGCGATCGATAGGGGCCCCTCTCAGATCAAATACAAAGTCCTTAGTTTCTGTTAAATCACCAAACGGAAGTCATAGGGGCCCCATTATCCTAATATGCCCAGGGCCTCCAATAGGACAAAGACGGCACTGGTTACGAGTATTCACTTCTGGACATAGCTATCGTGTCCGGAAGTGAATATTACAGATCTTTCATAGATGCAATAAATGAAATAAAATGAAAAGTCATTTATTCAGGCTAGGCTGTTACAAGCACTTGTGAAGGTCAAGAAGCTACGCCATTGGTTCGCAAAACTACGGCGGGAGACCTTGTACTGAGAAGAACTGGCAAGAAACTCAGCAAGGGTTATTTATATTTATAGTTGATTGAGTTTTTAAATAGGTATATGAATTGTATTATTGCAAAAGGAATTTCGGCCTTCTGTCATTTGGCGCCGAAGCGGAAGAGGACGAAGGCGAAGCGATGGAGTACCGGGGCAAACCGAAGTCCACCCACGATCTGTTGGACGATCCGAAGCTGAGCAGGAAAACCGCTGCCGGTGAGTGTACTCTATTATCTATACATAGGGCTGCCATCCGTCCGGGTTTTCTCGGATTTGTCCTAGTTTACGGGGCGTCCGGGGAGCGTCCGGGCGGGGTTTTATTTTATTTTAGTCCGGGTTTAAAAATTTACGCCAACGCATGAATGGCCCTTGGTGCTGCAAGTGTCCATGGGCAGCAGTGACCACTTATTATTAGGTAGACCGCTAGCTCTTTTGCCTAGATCATCATAAAAAAGTTGATTTGTGATATTTTTAACTGTTTTTTATTGGTCTGTCCGGATTCTGGGCTTTAAAATCCGGGGTCATCACGCGTGTTATCCTGGTTGCCACATTTTAGAGATGGCAGCCCTATCTATACATATAATAAAATGGTAGGAAAATCAAAACTGTACATTGAATATTTTTGCTAACCATCAATAATCTTTTTTCATTTGTAATTGTTAATAAAATTATTGTGATTCATATAAAATTATAAACCACACCAAAGGCAAATAAATCTCCAAATTCGCCAGTCCTCTATGAGATATTAAATGTGTCTATTATAGAATTGGAAGAAGAAGTAAACAATGGCAAAGAAGAGACAGACAAAGAAGCAGAGGAAAAGAGAGAGAAGACTGCGGTTGCAGTAAGCAATATAAGAGATAAGTTGAGTGCAAAGAAACGAGAGAGGAGTCCAGAAGCAGATAGCAATAAGAAAAAGAAGACAGAAGATGTAGAATCTGATAGCGATTCGCCTGTAGAAGAATATTATTTGGGCAAAGAGAGAGATGAGGCGAGACTGAAAGAGAGGTAAGAATTGTCGCTTTATGACATGTTTTTAGGTACGTTATTTATTGTGACGTTTCGCGTGAAAAATGATTTAAATCGTCTTTTTTCGCAAATTTCACCTTAGCTAGAGTACTTAAAATAAAGCTCGTAAAAAAATGGTTACTTTCTTTAACTGTTTAATAAATAAGCAAAACCAAAAAGGCAAAAGCATAAATTTTCATGAGAAAAATCTCTTAAATCGCCTTTTCCACAAATTTCACCTTAGCTATATGTAATTGAAAATAACATTAGGTAGACACTCGCGTAAAAAAATTGATTCCTTTACTTTTAAATAAAGGGAAATAATAAAACGAGCGACAAGAAAAAAACTTAGTGACTGATGATGACTGTTGTACTAACTTGAGCGGTATGAATTTGAGTAAGCGACAAAATAACTGAATACGAAGACTGATCAATAATAAAATCGATATCAAATTTACAAAATGTTGGCTGTAAAAAAACCATTTTGCACACAAAAATATTAAGAGTGCTACTGAATTACTAACTGAGCGACTCAAAATTCGGAGCGGGCAACATACATATTTAAATAGAGACAATTTTTAAAATTGAGCTTTCACGTAACTATTGACTTTAAAGTTTATTTGAGTACTGCTTGGGATGCTGCTTTATTAATGATTTTGGTTACTGGAATTGTATTTGAGAACTTTTGTTTATTATATGATACGCTTTTTAATGAAAACCACCGATTGCTGGTGGAGAATTCGGATGGGTTAGGGACTAATCGATTCGAATACGTTGTTTCATTAAATTACCTACATTGTAATACCTAATTAAATTTCTTGATAATATTGTTTTTTCAAATAGTACATTTAAAAGAAATAGAGACAAAGTACTCTGCACAGTTTAGTCTTTTTCAAAGAGGCTTTTGTATTGGAGACACTTCATTAAGATAAAATGCTGCTCATTATAAATAAATCATTTGCCAAATATTTAAAAAAATGCAGTTCATAATGTTGTCACACAAACAAAATTAAATACCAGTTCACTCTAATATTATTAAGCTGCTCATTTCGTATTTTAAGTACTTCAAGTTAGTATTTTTAAGTCGCTATTATTGATTTCTCGTCACTCGCAGTCAGTTGTTCACTTAGTAATACAGTAAGCCAAATTCAGTATTCTTGACACTTAATATTTTTATTCACATCACTCGTTTAAATTACTACCCTAAAATAAATAAGAAAAACCAAAACAGTTGCCAGAAATACGTTTTGTGACGTTCCTGCTGCTGGGTGCGTCTACTACAGTCTGCTAGTCATAGCTTCTTCTTCTTCTTCAAAGATTTTCAGACAGGACATGGCTAAGAAACTGCCCTTAACGTGTATAAATAACTTTACAATATGTTTTTTATTAATTATTACGTGTTTATTATTCTCATACAACTTTCGTGAAATAATGAAATATTTAAAAGTATAAAAATGGACTTCATGTCTGTTTAAAAAGCAAAATGTTCCGTTTTACAAAATGAACAATAAATGTACACAAAAAGTATTTGTGTAAGTATATCGAAATGAACAATATTATTTCTAAGCTTCTTCAAACTATGACATATTTGGCCCTAATTTTTATTATAACCAATCACTGAAAGCCTAAAGTAATAGATTTCATTCTTTTGATCAGGCTTGAGACAAGGCTGTGTGATAATTAATCCTTTAATTTTTGGAAATGGATAAAATAAAACTTTACAGATTTCCTGTCAGGCCGACGATAACAAAGTATTTTTATTTAATTTTGTTTTCAAAAAACCTTTTTGTGAAGGGTTAATCAGAGAAATGGGAAGAAAGATTCTAAGAAAATGCGAAATTGATGACTCTGTAAATAATTGGCAACATCTATTATCAACTGAAGTAAAGTAATGACATAGTAGGAGTTCTCATAATTTTCAAGATTGTGACTTTATCAAAAGTTCCTGAGCCTTTTTTCATAGAAATCATAAATATTCAGCCATTTACCATTAAATATTTCCTTATTTATACATTGTCAGGGCGCTCATACAAAACTTTACCATGTCCTTTATTATTATGTTATTTTAAGGTATCATATCTTTGCAGAGACCGCATAAGAAACGAAATAAAACAATTGAAGCGAGAAATGAAAGCTCCAAAAGAAGAGAGTAAGAAAGAGACAGAAGCCTCCCCAGAGAAGAAGATAGAACAGGACAACGAGATGTACCAACAGTTCATAGAGGAGCAAGAGAAATATAAGCAAATGAAAGAGAAAATACCCAAAAAGGGTGCCGCAAGGTGAGTTTCTTTGACCATTCTTACTATTTATATGGGAAGAAAAGGGCTAAGAAGTCGGTTATAGTTATTTATATAGTTATTAGTGCGGTAAGGCAAACGAGTTTGTTACATTGGTATTTAACCCATGTCATACAACGTTTTTCAACACGTTAAAAACAGTACCTACCTATGCTTAATTGAAGTAATAACGAAAACTTTTTCTAATAATAAAATGGCGCGCATTTCCAAATGGGTGCGGATGGTGAAAATTACAACTACACTTTTTCTTTTTAATATTAAAGTGAGACAAAGGTATAGATTAAAAGCACTACCAAGGAGGTTCGGCCGCTTTAAAATAAAACCGTAAAAAATACGCACGATGCGATGTGTAGGAGCGTGAGGTAAAACGTATATTGTAAAAATTATAAATGATATGAATTCCTCATAGTTGTAGTGAAAAAGAACCATATTTTATCAACTACCACAGTGAAAGTCATCGTAAAAGAAGACCTTTAATATTATCCATGTCAATAGTGCTTAAATATAAACACACAACAAAAAGAATTGAAAAACCGAAACAGAACACTCAAGATTCTGCTGTACGGACACAAGATTTCTTTGCCTTCCCGAATAGAAAAATTAGAAAAAAAAACCCAACCAAAAACAAAAGCGCATCGCACAGAGAGATTAATTCAAGAAAACGCTTTCAGAAGGAGACGTAGCCGATTCACGAGGACACCAAAACGCAAGCCATGGGTGAAGAATTTATACGAAAACCGCGAATATCCCGACAACTACACAGACTCGAAGTTCCTAGAGGAGCTCAAGAAGAATCTGTACATTGAAAAAGTGACTTTAAAGCAAGCCGTATTCGGTTCATTTCGCGTTGTCCTCCGTATATGTTTGTGCGTTTTATACGCCGTTCTGTTCTTTTATATGCACAACGGATACATCAATACAGACAGCGTTATAACGTTATCCGTTGTCATGACTACGCTCAGTTATTTCCTCTACGTGAGCTACGAAGGAAGTGACGTCACTAGAGTAGTAAAAACTATACTCATGTACTTGGTTTTGGGGTATTTGTTGTCTCCAATATTGCATACGCTTACAGACACCGTAAGTACGGACACGATTTACGCGTGGTTTGTCATTATGATGTTGATACACTTAACATTCTTCGACTATGAAGTAAAAGTCGCTTTGGTGTCTAAGTCTTTGTCGATTAACGCGGCCATATTTGCTTCAGTTTGCCTCGTTTCTAGATTGTCTACGCCCTTTGACGCGTTCGTACTTTTGACTGTGTCAGTACTGTTGTTCGTGCTAAGTCCACAGTTGTTTAAAGTACTTTTGAATACGAAACTGTTCGTGGTCTTATACTTTATAATTTTGCTGATGACTTTGGGATGTTTGTATACGGTTTCGGTTACTTTAACGTGTTACTTTGTATTGGTAGTGTTGATATTTAGTGTTTACTGTCCAATCATGTTTGTTAGGTGGCAAAGTTACAAAGATAACATTTACGGCCCTTGGGATGAAGCAGTGATTAATGATTCTGATGATCTTGATGAATGTTTGTTGTATAATTAAAGCCTTTCCTGCCACAGAATGAGGTTAAAAGGGTGATCAAAGACCTTTAGTACGGTAACCTATGTCGACGGCTCGCCCCCACTACACTTCCACCTAATCGATAATAGCCAATCAAACGCCGCGATATCAACTAATCTAACCAGTCAGCGCTTACACCCGAGAGCAACGACGCAATCAAAAACAAGTTTAGATTAAGTTATGAGCATTTGTTCGCACATAACTGTGGCGCGCCTGCCCAGTCCACAAGGCCCTTCTAACCTCTTTCTGTGTTCTGTATTTCCCCTTATAAGCGCATTTTTTATCGATTGTGAATATCGGATGCGTTATTGCGATATGTTTTTAGTATATTATGTATTACAATGGCTAAGAACTTACACACTGCTGCGATAGTAACGACGCAATAGAAGCAGGGCGCATTATCGCAATAACGCATCCGATAAAATCGACCAATTAAAATGCGCCCATGAGGTTAAGGCCTAAATTCCTGTTTGTGATATTGAAATAAAGACAGTTGTTATATTTCCATCATTTGAGCTTTTAAGTGAGAGACTCTTTTATATGTAAAGATGTTATAGTTACTTGTAATACCAAGAGATGGCGCTGTCTGCAGCATATGTATTCAGCATATGTTCTGTCTGATACATATGACAAGTTGATTTTTATTTAGTGAAATTTTAGATTTATACCAACTATATATATTTTATGTAGATATAATTATTTGTAATCGCAAGAGACGGAGCTGCTTGCAGCATATGGATTACTTTGGAACATTGAACAAAGCACCTTGTGTAGTGTAGAGTTTTGTCTGATGCATATGACAAATTGATTTTTATTTAGTGAAATTTTAGATTTATATCAACTATAAATATTTTGTGTAGATATAATTATATAGTTACTTGTAATACCAAGAGATGGCGCTGCTTGCAGCATATGGATTACTTGGAAACATTGAACAAAGCACCTTGTGCAGTGTAGAGTTCTGTCTGATACATATGACAAGTTGATTTTTATTTAGTGAAATTTTAGATTTATACCCAGCATAAATATTTTTTGGAGAAGTCATTGTCAATTAAGTGGGTAAAGCCCCCACTCAAAGACGTAAAGTTGACTGTCAGTTTCTTTGCGAAATAAATTAGACAACTTATTTGCTTTTGCATTACAATAAGCAACAGCTCACATCGAGCCGCAACGCTGCGCACACATTTTACTAAAGCAACTCTAAATTTTAATAACTTTATTTTCAACACATTTGCTCAACAAATGCATTAACGCAGGTTGTATACATTGTTCGAAAGTTTAAAATTACGGGCCGGAGCGTGCGGTAAAATGTTTTACCTGTGTGCTTTTAATAATTTTGTGTTCATTCGCTGGTATGCTACGGATCAAGTCATCTATGTCTCCCCAGAAAACGGTATCTATACATATAATAAAATGGTAGGATGTACAATGAATGCACAATGAATATTTTTTTAAAAGAATCTACAATCACAAAGTGATCTACAATCGATACCGAAGCCAAAAATATAGTTTTTAGAATTTTTGTCTCTTTGTCTATATGTGTGTATGTAACTCAAAAAGTACAGCATGGATTTACTTCAAATTTGGCACGAATATTATTAAGAAGTCGGGTCAACATAAAGGCTACATATTATCACGCTATCACCTACGGGGAACGAGCAGTGAACCTTTATTTCTAACTAACTCCACGCGCACGAAGTCGCGGGCGGCCGCTAGTTTAAGAATATTTCTAAGGAAGTATTTATTTAATTAATGCTTTAATGGGGCACATTGAGTTATCACAAACTGTTCATTCCTATAGAAGATATTACATTTTTACCGTAGAATATTACAAAGATTGTCTTGACAAAAAGATATTACAATATTATTGCAGGTTAAAACCATATTGTAAAGTTAAATTATTTAATTAATGCTTTAATGGGGCACATTGAGTTATTACGAACTGTGTATTTCTGTAAAAGATATTATATTATTTATTGTAGAATCTTACAAAGATTGATATAAGCACCAGTAAAACCGTTTATACCAGTAAACGTTGATATAATATGTATTTGATAATTGAATTTGACCTTTAATAAGTCAAAATCCCATTAGAAAGTTAAATTGAAATCAAAAGTATATTCCTTTTAGTCAATGTTAAATTTAATACTAGGCAAGCTAGTTTATTGTTTAAGTTATCATAAGTTTTATAATTGATATTTTATCACCAGACAGTAAAGTTCATTATTTATAACATTAACTTCAATTTCAAATGTTTTGTGTAGTCTTATTTCGCTTAATTCTACTTATAGGCGCAATAGATGGGAAAATGGTTTTGTTTTATTTAATTCGGTCTGGCTGGTTAACAGGGTATTTGACAAGTTTTAGAAAACGATCTCACGTTATTTACTAATGTTTATTGAATCCATAAAAATATTCATAATTTTGTCGTGTATTTCAGTAAAAAAAATACGGACAATCCATTTTCAGTCTTCGCCAATCCCAGACGTTTGCGTTGACGTGACCATAGAAGAAAAAATGAAAATTTTCATAATTACTGGCAACGTGTTCACGTTTATGAATATACAATTTATTCGCTTCGAATTCATCATTTATTAATTTGTACGAACAAATTAAAATTTAATATAATTATTTAGTACTCGCAAATATATATTTTGAACATTGGCCCAAAACTATTTTTTATTTTTGTATAGAAACCTTCACTTATCTGATACATGCATCATCATCAGTACCCTTAGCACGAACCATTATGTGAATAATTGAACTCGATCTAGATATACGTCAAATGTGTACTGATTTTTTGTTTTCATTACGTCTGCTGTGGCGCTGCTGCTCAAGTTTCCATACAAAATTTGACATTGACATTTCGCACTCGCAAACTATTCGAAATCGATATTGCTTCGTGCTAGGGGTGCAGCAACGTGGAAGTGACTAAAAAATTACAAGCCTCTACTAGCTTCTACCGTCTTTTGTCTCACCAGATTCTGAAGTGTGACTTTCAAAGTTTGTTAATACGCTCGTGCACGCAAAGTTAACAATTTTTAACCGACTTCAAAAAGGAGGAAGACTATGTTCGACTGTATTTTTTTTATGTAGGTTCATCGATTACTCCATCAATTGTAGACCGATTTCCAAAATCCTTTTTTAATACAAAAGAGTGCACTTCCGAGGTCCTATTGGAACCAAGTCAGGATCTGATAGTGGAATCCGGGGAAATCGAGGGAAACCTTCAAATTTCAAAGGCACGCATGATGTTTTTTTATGCATGTTCACCTATTTCTCCGTCAATTGTGTTATTGTTTACTTGGACGATGTAATTTTCACTAAAATGGATGAAATAAAAAATTTTTAAACAAAAAATAAAACCGACTTCAAAATCGAAAATGAACTAAAAAATAATAATATCTTGTTCATGATTTGGAAGTCGGGCGGGTCAAGATTGAATATAAATTGTATATTTTTGGCCCTTTTCAAGGGCTCCTAGTTTTTTTTTAAACACAAGTTATCGAAAAAAGTAAAACATAGGAGCGTGGAATGAGTAAAATTATATTCTAAGTATGAAAATTAATTCATAAGTGATAAAAATGCAGGAGGAATCACTCGAGAACGTTTGCACTTTTTGGCAATTGTTGCCACAATTCCACCACACAAAGAGATTTAGCGACTCATTTCTTTATCGCACTATCCGCAAATGGAATACTATGTTTTAACGTTTGTTACAAATTACCCAAATTAAATTTTTTGTCCAGTATGCATCAATCTCAAGAGTTACTCTAAAATGTAATTAAGTGAAATTTTGCTTCTGAATAATTGTGACTTTATTATCCGTTGAAAATTTGATCGATGTGGCATTGTAAATCAGTACGTACGAACTTTGGCAGCTCCGTAAACTTATCACATCTTCAAAGTTTATTTGAAAAGAAAGCAGTGCCCCTACCGGACGTCAAAACAAACTGGTTCCTTCCATACAAAATTTGATGATGACGACACGATCACTTATCTGTTAAACTTCGTGCTTGGGCCTTTGGATAAGTTCATAACCAAATCTTTTATCAGTACAGCAGCTGCATGTTTGACATATCGCCACTGCTCGGCCGTCGCCGATTTCATTGTTTTTGAGTGTGTATGCTGTTGGTCGCAGATGGCCTTTACAGCGTCACCGGGTTTTGGGATGGCGAGATCCCAAGGGGACCTCAACCGAGAATTGGCGAGTGCCTCTGCTCGGAGTATCATATAATATGAGTATACTAGTAGCTACCCGCGACTTTGTCTGCGTGGAAAAATTGGTTTCTCATACAAACTTCCGTACCCCTTTTCACGCATTAAAGGGTGATATAAGGATAAAAAATGTCTATGTCCTTTCCCGCAACTCCAAACTATTACTATACCAATTTTCATCTAAATCGCTTCTGGCGTTAGAACGTGACGACACTCGCATTTCTAATAATATAAGTGTGTTTTGTTTTAAACTTTCATGGTCACTAACATTATCTTAATATATATAAATCTCGTGTCACAATGTTTGTCCTCAATGGACTCCTAAACCACTGAACCGATTATAATAAAATTCGCACACCATGTGCAGTTCGATCCAACTTGAGAGATAGGATAGTTTAAATCTCAAATTATAGTCGCAATTTTAATTTATTGCAAATTATTACTTTTGGGCGGTACGAAGTTCGCCGAGTCAGCTAGTAGTAATATAAGTTATTTACGGGATTGTTACCATGTACCTTGTTTTTAGCGAGTTTCCGATATTTCGGCACTGTTGCAAGCGCCATGATTACGGGAAGCTCGCTAAAAACAAGGTACATGGTAACAATCCCGTAAATAACTTATATTACTATAATATAAGTGTGTTTTTTAATCTACGCAACCATTTACGTTTGAAGAATTATTAATTTATAATAGTCATAAAACAATGAGATATTCTTACTTCTGTTCTCCGAAAGGAGCCAATGGAGAGCTTTTCTTTCACACAGCCGCTTACTAAAGACAAAAATGGAATACTGCGTCACTTGCCAGGGGGGGGGGGGGGGGGGGCTGTCATTGGCTGAAGTTATCACTACAGTATTAACCGGCTAATGGCAGAAAAGCTAAGCTTTTATCGGTACTAGCCACAGAACAAGAACTAAAGCATAGAAGTAATGATATGACGTTTGAGCGGACACTCTCATAGACAATAGATTAACAAAAAGATTTCCAAACAAAGTAGATCTAGATCTAGATTTCTTCAGTGATGGCTCCCTCGGGATTTGGGCAATACCCGGTGTTTGCGTCCAAAGGTTTGTCCGGTGAGGGTTAGTGGCGTCTTGGCAGGCTGTATTTGACATAAGATCACTATTGGATTCTTGTTCTGAGGTCACACGGCATAGGCTGAAGCAACGACAAAATTATAAACCGACCTATGGCAGAAAAGCTTAACTTTCATCGGTACTAGCGCGTTTATGCGAATAGTTTAGAACACGTAAACCTTAGAAGAAGAACGTAAACATATAAGGAGTTAAAAGTCAGCTCATGATGTCGACTCATAGATAGATAGATAGATAAACACTTTATTACTCACACATACACAATTAAAGGGTTTACAAAACAGATAGTCAACTATGGTGGGTAAAGGTGGTCTTATCGCTGAAAGCGATCTCTTCCAGACAACCTTTAAGTCGAAGGATAGTTTAACAGAGATAGAAGAGTAATGTGCCAGCAAAATATAAAACAAAATAAAATAGAAATAACATTATATATATTATATAAAATACATACAAATAATACATACATTGTCATATATGTAGTTATCCTTTGTTTACATATAGGTAGACTAAAAGAGAGACAAATATATATTGCTAGAGGTTGCTATGAACAGTTACAGCTGTACAGTACCCTTAGCACGAACCAATATCAAATTCGAATAGTTTACGAGTGCGAAATGTCAGTCAAATTTTTTAAGGGAACTTGAACAGCAGCGCCGCAGCGTACGTAATGGAAACTAAAAATCACATTTGACAATGACATTTCGCACTCGCAAAGTATTCGATTTCGATATTGGTACGTGCTAAGGGTACTGTACAGCATGCGTACCACAATATTAACGTCAAATTAGATATCTTTGGCCAATTGTATGCCTAGTGGATAGCTTGGTTACCTTTACGATACCGAATCAAAAAGCGATCTAATGTCAAATGCAACCTGCCAACACGCCACTAATACTTTTTGGTTGGGTAATTAATACGTATAGTTTATGAGGAAGTGTACGCTCATTTGTATTTTAGTAAATAAATAAATTGCATTTCTTCTATACCTTAGTTCTTCTGAAATGTAAACATTACGAAATTAGACCTTATCCCTTTGTTACAGGGAAAGTTTCACGTTGAATTTGCTGGCCAAGTTCAAGAACAAGTTGCACGCCATTAAGGAGAAGGTGCAGACCGAAGGTGAGAAGGAAGCTGACAACGACGAAGCCATCAACACTGACGAATGGTGAGTCAAATACAAAGATGCAAAAAGAACTGTTTTTTTTTTGTTTGTATTAAGGAAGTTTTCGTTAAAGATGAGTGTTTA